CAGAAAGAAGTGCCCTGTATTAAAATCAATTTGTGTAACATATCAAGCATCTACTAGATATCAGACAGCTCGGATAACACGGTCTACTAATAATCAGCACCAAATAGCTCCGGCCTGAAAATGCTGGACTGGTATGTCAATGGCAGTGGACAGACCCAGGATTTAGGGACTGGAAAATCCTGTTTCAAATTCAGCGGCATCATTTATCGTGTGACCTTTATAAAGAAATCCCTGGCATCTTGAAAAATATATATATATCCTCCAAGGATGGCGATGGAGAATTTCCTGGAACTGCCAAGCCTCCTGCATTTTACCTCCCGCTGGGGGCTCTCTCTTTGGTCTGGCCTGGCACTGCTTCCCCAGTAATGGATCACCTGTCCCAGGTGTATTCTCCCTACCCTTCTGAGGTCACTAGTCTGCAAAATGGCCCTCAATGAACCTGGTCTCCGTATTATCCCCACCTCCCTCCCACACTGAATCTGGACTGGTCCTGTGTCTCACTTTACCAATAGAATGTGCCAGAAGTCACGTGCCAGTTCTGAGCCTCAGCCTTAAGAAGGCCTGACAATTTGCACTTCTGCATTCTTGGAAGCCAGCCACCATATAAAAACTCCAATGGCCCTGCTGAGGAGAAAGGCCACGTGCAAAGGCCCTGAAGGGTAAGACACCAAGTGGAGAGGAAGGCCACATGGGAGAATATCAGGGCACCAGACATGTTGAGTGAAGATGACATTTTGAAGGTTCCAGCCCAGGTGAGCCTCCAGGACTCCAGTCCCAGTTACCATCTGCCTACAAATGCATGGGAGATGCCGAGACAGACCAGCAGAAGAACAATCCAGCTGAGCCCCGTCAACCCACAGAAATAATTATCCATAGCACAGCCCACTCCTGCAGTTCCCTATGTCTCTCCTACAGCCACACCTTGTAAACTCCTGCAGCAGTAACATGAACCCAACATGAGAGAGCCAAAGGTGGAGAGCAGGAGATGAAGTTCAAGGGTGACCCTCTGCAACTGTCTAGTTCCACTGGCAAATAGCCTCATATTGTTAGCACCTCTGAGGTCCACACCTTCCAGCCAGATCATGGCTTTTAAGAACAGCACGTAGGTCAAGGAAAGCTCTGTTGTATTTGCATTCCAATCTTATTAACCCCCAGATTAGTTCCCAAAAGTTCTGGTAGTTTTTACAGATGCCTTACAGTACCTTCCAGGTCCCTGATTTCTGCTCTCCATTCACGACAAGAACAGGCCACAAGAAATTCCTGTGCCGGGGTTAGGCCCTCCAGCTACTGGACCCGTCCAGCCATTGGACCATGTCTGACTCTCCAGCTCTTCCCTGGGGATGGAGATCTGGGCTCCTTTCTCCATCTGCCTTTCCCCAGAAGCTGTTTCTCAGCCTCCACGTACCCCTAGAAGTCTGGTGGAAATCTCCCCTATAGGGCCTCCAAGTCCATGGAGATGATCTCAGGCCTGGCGTGGAGTCCACAGAATGTGCTTCTGCAGACTCCAGCTCCATCTCAGGTCTCCTTTATCACAGCTCTTCCTTAGCCATGTCTCTCAAATGTTATATGAGTTTTCAACTCCTCTTCTTCTTCACGGCTAAAGAAACCCTCAAGAAAGGTTCTACTGGCTGCTTTTATCTAAGGGCCTTTATATCTCATAGGCAGCAGCTGTGGGTCTTCTCTATTAGGCATCCTCCTTTCCTGGGAGAAGCCGGTTCCCTCCCCCTGGCAGCCCCTGGCAGGCTTCCCCATCCCTTGAAGAGCCAGGATCTTTGGGGCCAATTGTTGATCCCACCAGGCCCTCCACACTTCTCTGCTTGGGCTGAGGTTTTCCTAGAGGCTGCCTCAGGAGTCTTGACCAGAGATTTCCCCAGTAACAAGGATCAAAATCCACCAAACTGGCCTCTCCCCCAAGGACTGGCTAGCCACCAGGGCAGATCTGTCAGCCCTCTCAGTGTTAGCTCCCAACTCCCCTCCGCCAGGTATGCTTCCTACAAAGCCGGGGTTCTCAGTTCCCCTTTTTTCATATGAACAAGAAAGAAATCCTTGGGGAGTGTCCAGTTTGCACATACTGCTCTCCACCCCTAACACCGTCTTCCATCAAGATGGTGTTTCCTGGTATCACTCTTTCCACCAGAAAGCAATAGGTACACTGGTACACAGGAGTGGAGGTTATAGTGGAGATGCCATTCTCAGCTGTGCAGTCACTATCCCACTCCTCCCCCAGAAGGCTGGTGTCCTCAGCAGCACCCCAGGCCTTCTGAACTCCATACCCCCAGCAAGCTCAGTGCCAGGCACCCTATGAGGTTCACCACCTCCAGGATCAGGAGCCCCTTCTCTAGCCTCCTGGTCTGTCCTCTCAGCCTTGACGAACACCTGGCTGGTAGTCCTCCAGACTCATGTTTCCAGATGCTGGCCAGTCTACCACCAGCGACTCCCTTGGGAGTGCTACATTCGCCACTAAGTGATTCTGTATTTGAGGACTCACCCCATCCCAAGGGACTCTACTTGCATAGCCTCCATCCCTGCCCAGCCCTCAGCCTGCTCATGGACGAGGTTCACAGACACAAAGGGCTGATCTATGAACCTCTCTGTGGCAACTGCATTAGCTTTGGCCCTGAAAAGAGTCCCAGGGCTCAGGGTACAGCAGCCCCACCCTGCCTCCACCTGTGGGAAAACCAGGGGTCTCTGAGTGACATCAAACTTGAGGGTTAGCAGAAGAGATGCTCCACGTGGGAAGGAGCAGCTGCCCTCATTTTAGCGCCAGCATTTCAGCCTCCCTTTAAGGATGCTGTCACCACCATGCTGACCTCGGGGGCTGCACTTGGCCCTTCCCACATGGATCTACTGGCCTTTTAGAACAATCAAGCCCAGTCTGTCATGTTCAAAAGAGACACGGCACAGGAGTAATACTGAGCCATCTGAGCTGCTAACCAAAGATGCAAGCATTGCTGCTTGGGCAATTTCCTTCACCTCTCATGTTCAGTTTGCCTGACTGTAAAATCAGGATGGTGCCTTCCCCTTCACAGAGCTATCAGGGGAACTGGTGACAATGTATGTGCCATGCCTAGCACCTAATAGGCACTCAACAAAAGGAAGCTCCTCTCAGCAGAGCTGCTCACACAGATGACACTTTTGTCACAGGTCACCAGGTGGGAGTTGTCTGAAAACCCCTTAGGCACCAGAGATTTCCTAAGTGTGTCTATGGCACAGAATGCGACTGACACACCCAAGATTGTCCCAGCTAATCATTCAGCTTATCCCTGGGTCTGGTCCACCCTCCCCTTCCCCCACTAAGAAACGCAGAGGCACTCCACTCTTGCTAACCCAGCCACAAACCCACCAGCTTCACCCCCACCCAAAACACAGCTGGCTGATCCCAGCAAGGGACGTTCCTCACCAGACAGACATCCCACAGCCAAATTTCCACATCAGTATTTCCTCGAAAAGTGTGGCCACCAGGGGAACTCTAAAATAGGAGTCTCCCTCAGGGCTTCGGGGCTAGAAAAAAAGGAGGTGCCAGGTCTTCATAAGAAGAAATACACTTGCTTTCTTTCACATCCGAATCTCAGGAAAGGAACCGGGAAAGCTGAGGAACACACGTGAGCCTCTTCCAAGCTCACAGGTTCTAAAAATACAGAACCAAGAAGGTTAGAGAATACACTCTGCTGCCAGCCCATGAAAGCTCCTTCCAGCCTAAACTTTGCTCAAATGCTACTACGCAATTCATTTAGGAGGGATTTTGTTGTTTTTCTTTGGACCTGAAAGAAACTTAATGTACCTCTAAGAGGCCAGGCTCTATTTTTGATAATATTTCCACAGGATACTTCTCAGGCAAACTCACTCTATAATCATTTTCTTTCCTTCTTTCCTTACTTCTTTCCTTCCATTTCTTCCTTCCTTCCTTCCTTTCTCTTCTTTTTCTTTCCTTTCCTTTCCCTTCCTCCTTTCCTTCCTTCCTGCCTTTCTTTGAGTTACACAGAGCACTTTGGTCAAAATTTGCCATTTTGTTCTTTGTGAAGTTCGTCAGGGGTCATATTATAAATAAGTTCAGTCCCCATGATTTGGGCAGCGTTTTACCAGAACCGTTCTGTATACCTGCGGGTAACTGCTCATTTAATCTTTACAACAATCCTGGGGGCAGGTAGCCTTTTACTGAAGGAGATGTCCTGTAAGGTCACTCCCCCACCCACACCCCTCCACCTCATCCCCTCCCAAACACACAGAACTTGAGAAACTTCGGATCCCACTTAGGCTGTGATCATGAGCTCAGCGATTAGAGGACAGAGAGGCCTCCCAACTGTCACCCAGACAATAAACAGCCAGCCGACTTGGCTCAGCAGGTCCCCTGTAGCCCTGGGGCCAGGCCAGAACCCCAGGAACAAGCCACTTTCAGGTGCTGAAGGGGAGGGGGAGCTAGATGGGGGCTACGGCACCCCTGGGTCAAGCCTGCTGACTGAGCTCGGGCTGGTGGCCAGCCAGGCTCAGCTGACCAGCAAGTGGGCGGCCCCAAAGTGGCCAAGCCGCCTAGCCCGGGACAGCAGGACCGTCCACCGGCCGGCAGGTTCCGGGCTCCGGGGTGGAGACACAGGGCTGCGCGGCCAAACTGGTGCCAGTTTTCCGATCACCGATGCGTCTCCCATAGACCGCCGGGCTCCGTAGCCCTTCGCTGGCCCCTGACACCGTCGGGAAGGCGCCCGCCAGCTCCAGAACTCACACAGGCAACAAGTTCTCGCTTCCTCAGGGCTCCACGATGTGCTCTGGAGGCCCAGCACGGGGGGCGCTCAGGGGGCGATCCCGGCGCTGCCCATGCCCTGAGGGGCTCCCGCTGCCTTCGCCGCCCCCAGGAGCGCGGAACTACGGGTTCGACGCGCAGCGGCTGCCTCCGGGGCGCCACTCGGAGAGCGGTGGCTCGGGCATCCCCGGTGCGGGCAACAGGTCTGCAAGAGCGCCAAGGACCGGAGCCTCGGGTCTCCCAGCTCCCGGCCCTCGCCCCTTACCTCCAACAACTGCACATAGCTCGCTGGGAACCAGCCGCGGAGCCCGTCCTCCTTCTCTCCTTCCCACCAGCCGCCGTCCGGGACCTGCAGCAGCGTGATCAGCTCGCCCGCGGCGAAGCGCAGCCCTTGGCCGTGCCGCTCCCCGGAGAAGGGGTACAGGGTCCGGCAGCGGGCGCCGGACATGGCCTTGGCGCCCGGGCTCACAGCGCAGCCTGCATCCCTGCCGAGCCCCGCGGGTTGGGCAGCGGCTCCGCGATGTCCAAGGCGCCCGGCGCCCCGGGCTCCCGCGCTCTGGGCACGCGCCGTCTCGGGGGTGTGCGGGGGTCCCCGGCCAGGCGGGGGACGTGCGCTCCACGCAGGGAAGCGGAGACTCGCTGGCTTCTGAGAGCAAACGGCGACGCCCCCGGACCGGGCAGCTCTCAGATCCCAGCTCTGGGCGGGGGGGCGGGGCTCAGGGGGAGGAGACCCAGGCGCCGCAGGCTCGGGAGACAACTTCCCGGGTACGGGGAACGCGGGCTGCCGCCGAGAGGGCCGGCCGGGGCCGCCCTGGCGTGCGGAAGCGCGCAGCTCCCCGGGGAGGTGGGATCTGGAGCATCACCCTCGGCCCGGCTCCGCGGCGAGGGTGTGGCCGGGCGTACGTGGAGAGGAGGTTGGCTGCCGGGTGGCCGAGCGGAGACTCCCTCCGCGGCGGGGGGGCGGGGCAGGGGCCGGACCAAGGCGGCCACGCCCGCTGAGGGCTGGGCTCTCTCTCGCCTAGGGGGCAGGTCACTGGGGAGGGGTCTCTCATTCACACACCCACCACGAGGGCCACTGGAATAGAAACGCCCTTGCATGCCTGTTTTGTAGGTCTGGTGGCCGATGGCTGTGAGCGCCCCCTCCGAGGTGCCCGTAAGGGAATGTGTTTGTGGCCGTCACTATAGGGGTTAAACCTAGGGTTGAACTTGACTCACCGGAAACTGAACAATGGGTGAAAGACAAGTTTGAAGCTTGGCGCCTGAGCCGGGAAGCCGGGTGGCAGCGTGTTACACAGGAGGGAGCGACCGGGAGGCGACCAAGTTGGAGTTGGTAGAATTGGAAGCAGGCCCCGTTAGAATAAATGAAGGAGAGGGGAAAGGTGAGAGGAATAGCCCACACTGCTTTGCATGCGAGGGGAGCCTGACTCAGGGTACCAATTCTCTCCTGAAATTGAGATTGGCCAGGCTGAGGAGTCTGCACTCATTTACTCAGTCAACAAACATTTGTAGGAGGCTGCCACGTTCCATGCAATGTGCCTGGTACCTACAAAGATCATTTGGACAAGTCCCCGCTCTCCAGGGACCAGTGGACCTGCGTGATGAGGGTATAGAAGTAAAAGAAAGCTGGCTTTCTTTACTAGCCTACTCCATAGGAAAACTTAAAGCCCATCTTCTAAGCTATAAATAGCTGGACACTTTAATCTCTCTGTATACTTCTAACTGCCTACCCTTACATCCTGCTCAATAACCTCCCATGGCTCTCTATGGCCTATTAAATTAAGTAGAGATTTCTCAGCCTGTGCATTGAAGGCCCTCCACAATACCTCCTGGGGCCTCGTCTCTCACTGTTTGCCTAGATACCCTTTATAAAACCAGTCAGGCTGGACTACAAGAGCCGTAAGATCTTGCACATCTTCCCATGCTTTCAATCAGTGATTCTCAATCCTGGCTGCACATTAGAATCACCTGAGCAACTTTAAAATATGCTTATGCCCAGGCCCACCCTACCTTTGAGAATCACTGTTGAGCCATATTCTGTATGTAAGCCATCTCACCTGAGCAGCCTTGGTTTGGCCTCTGGCCATGGGCAAGCTGACAAACGCAGTTTGTTTATAATATTCCATCGATTGCAAATTCACAAACCCTTACTTGGCTAAAAACGTGGGGAACAAACCCTTGACAACAGTCACTACTAAGAGTCCCTTAACACAGAGCTGCAAACTTTGTTACAGTAAACAGTCGCTAAAAGCAATTGACCTAATTAAGTCTTAAAAAGGACGAAAATTCCCTGTATTGGGAATATGTGACCATTAGCAGTCTGACCTTAGGTTTCGTATCTGATGATATGGCCCACCTCAAATTAGGTAGAGCTGGTCCAGAGCATTCTTGCCATCCAGAATCCTCCAAACCTGTGATCCAGTTTGGACTTGAGAAATCTCAACCTACACAGCATCCCATACACTTCAGCTCCAAATCACCCACCCCAAACAGTTCTGCAGCACCAAAATTGATCATGGCTATCAATTTCTTCAATTCTTCCATTTCATTCCTGCAATCCTATAAGCTGGTGTGATTGTTGACGCCAGTTTACAGGTAGAGAAGCGGCTCAGAGGGTATGACTTGCTCACCATCATATAATCGGTCAACAGCAGAACCAGGCTTTGAACTCAGATCTGGCTTATTGCATATCGACTGCTGCTTTCTCTAGTCCATTTTGCCAGTCAGGAAATGTGTATCCTTGTAGCTCATCTACAAATAGTATCTTAAGAAAGAGCTCTTTGGTGATACCCAATGTCAGTCTTGGTAGAAGTAAGACCGGACTGGCAGTCAGTGGAACTCCTGTCCCTGATTTCCCTCCGATAAAGTAACCTCAGACAAATCTCCTAAAACCTTTGGGTCTATTTCCCCATCTGTGATAGGAGACTGAGTCCAGTAGCTGGAATATGGGACTAGAGATGATTAAATGTGTAGGCTCTGGACTCCCAGTATCCAAACCTCAGTTCCACCACTTTCTAGCTGTGTGCCCTTGGGCAATTTACTTACCCTCTCTGAGCCTCATTTTCCTCATCATTGGAAGAAAATGACAGTAGTATTTATAGCATAGAGTTATTAAGAGTATTAAAGAGTAAAAATGTAAATTATTTAGAGCAATGCCAGGCATGTTAATTACTCAAATATTAGCAATTATTATCTATCTAGTCCAATGGCTCTGGTTATTTATTATCTAACACTTCCTTTTGAACAGAGATTTCCAGGACAATAATAGAAGTGTAAACTCTTACATCTTTGGAATGTCAAAAAATTTAAGGGAACTGGGTTTCTGTTTTCTCACAAGATCTTGAAGGAAAGATGAGTTTCTCTCTTATGTGTTTTCCCTTCCTCCTCCCTGATCTTCTATGACTATCTTGAACTTTTATTTGAATCTTTAATTATTTGACATCTTTGATAACTAAGTCTTATTTTACTGATTAAACTCTAGGTTACTCAGCGGAGGGATAGCATGTTTATTTTCAATTTCCACCTATCCCTCTTAAAGCTTAGTACTGAGTTTTGCAAGAAGTAGGCATTCGGTACTTCCTGACTTCATTGTGCATAGATTGTCTGGACCCCTGTTTCTATTCTGATTTTCCATATTGCCAAGTTTCTCTATAAACACGTGTTAGAACATCTGGATTAGAATGTAAACTCCTAAGAGTAGGCTTTTGTCTCTCCTTCTTAGCGTTCTCTCGACACTGTGTATTTGATAACTATGATATTTCCTTTCTATCCAGGACAGCCTTATATGCCTTTCCATCATCAGCCTTTGGATGGCAAAGAAAGATGAGGGTTTCCGTTTCTTAAAAAGTTAAACAGCAGCCAGCGTGAGCGGCCAGCAGCCGCAGTGAGCGGCCGTCCAGAAGCCGGCGACTGATCTGCCTCGCCAGAGAAGAGCGCAATGATGGTGC